AACACACGCAGGTATGCAAGAAATGATCAACACCCCTGTTGATAATCATTTAAATTTTGCCATAAAATATAAATTTTTATATTTTTTTTGCAGGGGTGGGGGTGGGGGGTAGAGCAGTGCACTCGTGCGCTGAGACGGTTGTGCAATACCCTGTTTGATCCCTAAAGCCTGCACTCCCTGAGCAAGGCCCTTAATCCAACACTGCTCAAATGCAGAGACTGAATTTCCTCATTTGGGACAATAACGGGATTTACTTTTTCCATTTACATATTATTTCCTTCATAAAATGAAACTAATACTATTTGTAGATGGGGTATAAATAATTTAAACCTTCACTGCATAGGACACCTGCAATAAAATTAAAATGCTAAACAAAACAAGAGAGGACATTTACAAGGAAATTTGAGTTGTTTAAATCTAAAGTTGTTGGTTACTTAGAGACCAATTTAACTTCCTGTTATCCACTAACATAAATAGTGAAACCCATTCATAGCTATCAGCTATGAATGGGTTTCACTATTTATGACCAAAGGTAAGATAATCTATACATCAGTATTGATCACACTTCCTTCCTTCCTTCCTTCCTTCCTTCCTTCCTTCCTTCCTTCCTTCCTTCCTTCCTTCCTTCCTTCCTTCCTTCCTTCCTTCCTTCCTTCCTTCCTTCCTTCCTTCCTTCCTTCCTGCTTTTATAATATTTTACAAAATATAGTAATATTAAAAGTGGATAAATCAGAAATGGATTCCGTCTTTCAACACAGCCACTTAAACTGGGGTGTGTAAACTTTTAAAAGACACTTAGGTGCAATTATACCTCTAAGTTAAAACATTAATATCTAATTTTGCATGGTACAAAACTATATTTCCTCTTATTGTTAATAGCTGAATAGATTAATAGGTGAATCCCCGTTTAATTCATTTAGAATTTCCCCATTGTGTGACAATAAAGGTATTTTCTCTTCTATTCTATTCTGTTCTATTCTATCTCTTAAACTTATTTCAAATCACAAGAAACAGAAACCATCAAAAGTTTAAATGCAGGCTGTTCCTCTATTTAACATCATTTACAGCTTAAAACCTTTTGTGGTATTAAGGACGTCTCTTTGTTTAATAAAATGGTCACTGTCAATTAAAAAGTTCACAGTTTCTGTCATTTTTTGCCTCTACTATGTTAATTGCATTTTTGAAATCTACCTGAAGTGGTCTAATCAGACCCCTCTGGAATGTCAGGGTAAATCCTAGAGGCAGAGGCTGATGGACTACACATAGCCTGTGTCTTCCACGGGCGCGGTCTACCTGGACTGGATTCTTCAAAGTCCTTGAAAATAAAGAGACCGGAAGAGTTTTGGCTGTGAATTCAAACAGGTAGGAATTCACAACGCCATAATGCGGAATGCTGTGTCGCTTAGCAACCGTGACGGTTTACACACAAAGCAGGAAAAAAATAAAAACTTTTCAAAACTGTTTTTTTCTTTTCTTTTTTTTTATTGTAAAGTGAACAAAGACTACAGTCATGAGTGGAATAACAGTGCCAACCACAGGAGCAGGAAAAAATGAAAGCAAATGTAACGATATAAACATTAGTCAGTTAAATAAAATGCTGCTGTCATTTTGCACATCTCTGATGTTGCTGCTATTTTCAAATATCCATTACTGTAAAAATGTCCATAGCTGCATATTGGTTATTTATTCTCCATGTTCTCACAGTTTTACATTGTTAAAACACTTTACAGCAGAGAATTTTATTGTTTATATTTTAACTCTTCACTATTATGTTATTGTTATACATTTTTCTAAGGTACACATTTGTGTGACAATTTTTTTCAATAATCTTTTTGCTGCTGTAAATTTCCCCATTGTGGGAAAAATAAAGACATTTTCTATTCTATTCTATTCTGTTCTATGAAAGGGTTAAAAATATATAAGTCAATCTAAACAATATATATATATATATATACGGTATAAAAAATAAATCTGCGAAATAGCAACAGAAAACACTTAGTTGAGCAAATTGTGCAAAATAGCAATAAAAAAAATTTAAATCCTATCAGATTTATATTCCCCACTCTGCAGATTCATTAGAATCTGTCCTTAAATTACAGCTACACCCATTTAGACAGTAACAGATAAAACACTTTAGATAAACCAAACATTACCCGCCATATATCTGACTCAATAACCATTGAAACTACTATTTTCATTCATTTCAGAATTAACTATTCACGAAACCATTCATACTTGTATTATATTAAACTGAACTTCCAATATTCATCACTGTTCTGCACCAAGTACCATTTCCTCCGATCACGGAGCAGATCGCTTGCTTGGTCTCGCAATGAATCCTGAGATAACCAAGGATGGAGAGGAGACATCGGACCCGTCCTTCAAATCAGGCAAAAGGAAGGACACATTTGTAGGATGCATATCAAAGAGTCTTGGAATCCAACCAAACCTCGGCGCCACGCTATGACCTTCAAATCTGGCCTTTGGAGGACGCAGCCCAGGAACTTCAACAGAGCCACTTATACAGGTGTAAGCACTGCTGTCTTGCAGCAAGAAGGCTCAGTGTTGAAAAGGCTCCCATTAGCCTGATCTCCTCTGAGTAAAGCATGTGTTCTCTCTGAGTACTCAGACTTCCTCTGTTACAAGGGTTGACCAAAATATGCACTTTTGCTGCAGATCAGCCACTTGGAACTCTCTGGGAGTAAAAACAGATAATGCATAGAGACTATTTATTTTTATTTATTTTTTTTTTATTATTTATTTTAATAGGGACAATGCACATTAATGAACATCAGTATAAAAACAAATGTAAATATGCCGGATTATAGCTACAAAGCTAGTTTTCATCCGTAGACCCTAGGCAGGCAAATACATAAGAAAGAACATAACATACATATTCTATGAATAGAAGGTTTAATCAATTTGTCATATTGTAAATGCGATGTTGTCTGCCTTGGTAGCAAACACATTTGAAACAATGGAGTCAAAATATTAAAAAGCCCTTTTGGCTCATCTTTAAATGTAATGTTGACTATTGTGGCCATTTTGAGGCTCTTTAACCTATTGTAACATGCTACTTTATAACACTGGCCTAACAATGGCTGGTAATTATTCACCTGCCTAATTATTTGTACATTGAGGCCTTCCTGAATGTATCAAAAGAGTCATTCACTTCATATTCTTTTTTAGAATTTTAACATTGCAAATTGACAGTTTTTTAAAATATTTAAATATTCTTATCGTTGGAAATCATCTACCTTCACCTGCATATCCTTCTATAATTCTTTAGTATCCTCCTTGGCTTATTGTCCATAAACGTCAGCAATAGATGACACATGAAACAGGTTTTACCAGAGCTCAGAAAACCCCTGACTTTAAACTGGAATTTTATTACTTTGATAAGAGTTTTTTTTTACTTTCTAGAAATGACGTCTTACACCCTTAGCTAAACAAGTTTCTCAGCTTTGATTTTGAAGCAATCTTACACAAACTTGTCAAACGAGGCATTCATATATTCGGTTCTTTGAAAAAAAAAGATTTTAGATACAGATCCAGTGTTTAAAAAGGCCATTCCAAGAGTTTTAGTTTCCTCCTAACATGCGTTTTTCAGCACTGGAGTCTGGCGCAGCGAGTTTGTGTAAAGGACATTACCTATTATGAATTCAGCTCTTCTGGAAATTTAGAAATGCACATCCATCTAATTTCATTTGTATATTTTCCTACTTACTTGTGTCGGTCTCTTTGCTTTCCTCAAACTTGTTCTATCTGTTACTATTAAGCCAGCTCATATCTATTTATGCATCAGATCAGAAACACTTTCTAAATCTTGACTGATTCCATCTGCTTTCTGGGCTATCTGTGCTTTTTTTACTTGCTGTATTTCATGTCTTTAACACTTACTGCCTGTACCATTCAAATTCAACTTTAATTTAACTTAAGTATAGGATAAAACTGATTTTATTTCTTTGCATGTGGGGATTACTTGGACAAAATAGAAATACTTCATAAGCAAAGGATAAAGTATTTAACACTCCTTTTACCAGCTTGAAATCATGTTACTAAACCTCTAGCCATGTGTGAAATAAAGGTTTTTATATCATAGTTCATATTCTGAGGAAACTACTTTTTCAAGGATCTTCATTTCTACATAGAAAAAAAAGTTAGCTTTATAAGATCATGACATATTCTCATGTGGGAATTTATTTAAGGTTTATTTCCACTACATCTGATTAATCGTTTCCTTGTCACCACTTCCGGCTTTTCTTAGAATAACATATGAAGATCTGGTGCAAAGTACCCAACCAGGGTGCTATTCTCACCCCACATTTCTCTCTGTATATACTACTGTTTGTGTCACTACAGTCTAATTAAATTTGGTAAAATTGAAAGAGGTCAGATTATATAGGATGGGAAAAAATCTAAAGAGGTTGACTATGGCAACACTGAAGGAGAAAAGGAAACAAAGGAAAAATACTAGTAAAAACTAATCTAAAAAGAAGTAAATGCACTTGCTATCATTAAAACATTAATTATGAAAGGAAAAGAAGTAATTTTATTTTGAATTTAAATGTTTTATGTTGCCTGTCTGTGTGGGTAGATATGTCAGAGTGGAAATGTGTTTGCATGTTTTAAACCGGTTTTTCTCCTTAGTGTTGCTGCTTGTGTGAAACTGGTTTTGTAATTCTAGCCAACATTTCATCTCACTGCTTCTCAAAACATTAGAAAAGCTTCTCCTCCAATATGCATCACAATGTTTACGTGTAAAGGATCAAGCTTTGAGAGCATCTTACCACATTAAGGTAACCCTTAAGTGGCTCCCATGCCAAATTCCTCTTAATTTCATAATGAAATGTCTTTATTTAGAATTAAAACTAATAGCTATTGCAAAACTACCTAAATGTTATGAGAGTGGAAATGGATGATGTCACTCCTCCTGACATCCTCCCTCCCTCTCTGTCCCCAGTAGAATAGGTGTGTCGCATGTAGACCAAACCAGTAGCACAGCCACTCAGGTGACAAAAGAGAAAGAGCTCTCTCAGGTGGAGGAATAAAGACAGAAGAGACAATTTGAGAGGGGGAGGTGAACATTTCCACCGAGGGACAAAAAAGGGGAGGGATAGTGAGAGATGGAAATATCCTGTAAACAAATGAAGTACGGCTGAACTGAGACACACCTGGAGCTTTAGAAAAGGACATCAGTGGATAGCAGAGGGACCGAAACCATCAGCAGACCAAGTTCTCTCCACAGACATTTTTAACACGCCATAAGAGACTGTGCTCAGAAATGCAGGCATGTCAAAGAGGCAACAGATGTTAAGGGCTGAAAACTAAAGCAGAGAAGACTGATCAGAGTGAGAACGACTACGAAGGCAAAACAAGCATTGCAGGGATCGAGAGAGACGCTTCTGAAAGGTCTGTGAGGATTTTTCCAGCAGCTTCCAAAATCTTCCCATCATGGCCTCAATGGGGATTCAGCTCCTGGCCAGTGCTCTGTGCCTGCTGGGCTGGATAGGGGCCTTCACCAGCTGTGTACTGCCCATGTGGAGGGTGACCGCCTTTGTTGGCAGCTCCATTGTAACCTCGCAGACTGTCTGGGAGGGGATCTGGATGACCTGTGTGGTCCAGAGCACAGGGCAGATGCAGTGTAAACCCTACGAGTCCCAACTGGCTCTCAGTTCCGACACCAAGGGTGCCAGAGCACTCATGATCCTCGCTGTGGTTACAGGTGGTGTCGGCCTCATCTTGGCCTTCATTGGTGGAAAATGCACCAGGTTCTTGGATGGAGATGGCGGTGGTGCAAAGGTAAAGGTGGCTATAGTAGCAGGGGTGTTGCTAGTGCTCACTGGGCTGCTCTGTTTGATCCCCACTGCATGGGCGGCCGGCTCGGTGGTGAATAAGTTCTACAGCGCATCCATAGATGCTCAGAAGAGAGAGCTTGGAGCATGCCTCTACATTGGCTGGGGGGCAGCCATTCTGCTGGTCCTGGGAGGTGGTCTGTTCATCAAATCAGCTTGCCCCGTCAAAGCCCACGACACAGACAAGAGCCCCTCCGTCCGCTACGTGGTAGTCCGATCCTCCAACGGGTCGACCAAGCCGGGCTCCCATTACACACGGGTACCGACAGCAATGGCTCAGCCCATCAGAACCATGTCCCCTGAGCCCCAAATCATGGAAGCAGGGTCCGCAAAGCCTCCACTGTACACAAGACAGGTGTATGAGGCTGAATCTGAGCAGGACATGAGGGAGGATTCAGAGAAATCCTGGGCGCCATCCACAAAGTCTCAGATGAAAAGACCAGATTCCAGAAAGTCAGAACACAGCGACACGCCGTCGACAAAGTCCCAGCTGAAAAAAGCTGAGCTGGACGAAACTTTATCAGCTGCCAGTGAGAATGAGGACACGGCGGCGAACCCAACGAAAACATACCTGTAATATGAGCTCTAAAAGATGGAAACTTTAGTACTTTAGTTTACATTTAGTTTGCTGTTACTTAGATGTTGTAGTTTAAAATATTGCATTATATTATAGAGGATCAAGATGTACTGTTCATCATCCTTAATGTGAAGGATACAAATGAAGTTTGAACATTTTATATGTGCTTGAACTGACCAGCAGGAAAAAAAAATGTGATGTATAATTTGTTATGAAAAGACTTGCTCAGTTTAATTTTTTGTTTTTAACTTGCCATGTAAATGTGGGATATTACACTTCATTAGATGTTTATTTTAGTGTTTAATGTGCTGAATGATATAAATGTAATTTTTTTGCCTGAAGAATATACAGTAACTCTTTTTATTTAAAAGACTGATAGCAGCTTGATAAATGAGCGATGAAGGATTTTTTTTTAATGACTACTTATATACTTAAATCTGTGGAATAAAATGCTCTTCTTACTGCTAAACTTTTTCTTTCCAACAAAGGTTTATGTAAATACTTTTTTTATCAATGCATTTTGAATATGATTGAGTTTTATTTTATTTAAAAAGGACTTTGAGAAAATGTACTTTACTTTTTAATAAACTGACAAAACATGAGAAAGCCTTGTTGTCATTTGGTTTTTGCCAATTGTTACGAAATAGAGAAGAAGAAAAAAAGAAGCTTTCTCTGTAGACACATAGTTGCTCTTTGGTAGCTGTGAGATTCTGGACAAACTGGTTTGACAGAGATCACAAAAGAATTGTGCTTTGTGAAACAAGGAAGCAAGGTGACAGAGGGTTCTTCATTGAGTTTCAGTGAATCATGTTGTGTTGACTTTAATGACTCAAAAGGAAATAATTCCCATGATACAAGCAACATGCATGGCAATTGTCAAAATGTCTAACTCATTGACGCCATTAAAATAGCTTTTTGTGAATACTTTTTTATGGAGATAGGCTCAGATCCATAAACTTTAAACAACTACGGTGATTAGAAAAATGAAATGTTGAATGAATATTAAAATATACAGCATTTCTTCATTTCGCTCATGTTTTTTTTTTTCAAAATAGTGTTTTAAAAAGGTAAAGTTTGTATGTAGACAATGTAGAAAATTACTTTTTTTTGTTTTGAAGTCCTTATTTGGCCTTTTAACGAATATGTAAAAAGAAAAAACAGTAACACATTTTTGATATTAATAATTTATTACTATGCGATAAGTCAAGATTATTTTTTGTGTAGTTTTTACCATTAAATTATGCAAAAGGTGTCAGACGCAAAACATTTCAGAAACCGTATGTATCAAATATGATACATTTGGCATTACAGGGTTAAATTGCAGGATAAAATTTGTTATGCTGTTGTGTCTGCTGGGAAGAGGCTTCAAAGCATTGATGAAACAAAATTTCAATAAAATAAAAGTCTAAGTCTAATAAAGAAGGGAAAAGGGAAGGAAGATAACAAAGAAGGAGAGCAGGAAATAATTTCTTGAGGGAGAAACTGGGGAATCGGAGAAAACAACAGAAAGGAGGCACAAGGAACAATGAAAGGACAGTAAGCAGATAGGACAAGGATAGAAGGAGGGAAGGTATTACAACAGGAAAAGAGGTAAGGAAACAAAAGAGACAGATAGAATGACATAAGGGAGAAGGAAAGGGAGGAAAAAAGAAATAAATGACAATAGGAAGGAAGGAAGGAAGGAAGCAAGGAAGGGAGATAGAAAGAGAATCTGAGAGGAAATATAATTTGGGAAAAAACGATTGTTTTGAAAATTATGGAACCATTTGTAATCTGGAAAATTCTAAGAAGACATTTAGAAGTTTTCCAGGCTGTATTAGAGTCCTTATCTTGTTTTGCTGCTCTCTCTTACCAAATGTGCACCTCTCATGATTTATCTGAATCATTTCACCATCTCTGGACTTCAGGGGTCTAGTGCTGCATTAAATCTACAATACATATTTCTGGTAAATAAAGCTGAAAACCACTTTTTTACCCCCCCCCCAATAAATATTACCGTAGTCTCATTGGCAAACCAGTTTCATATGGCAAACATATTTAAGTTGTTTGAAGTTATTTCCCTCTGGAATTATTAAAGTATGTCTAATTCTCATTAGTTAACAAACAACTGAAGGGCAGCTATCAGGAGAAGCAAAACTACAAAATGTGGCAACCAAAATTGATTTTGATGTATGGTGTTTTAGGCCTCAATTTAGTATTTCAATTAAGTTTAATCCACCCTATGTGAGGAAATGGTATATCTCACCAATAATTAACAATTACTTTGTCTTGAATCAGCCATTCCTAAGACTTGGAAAGTTATCCACAGACTAAGGGATGGATACTTCAGAGAAAATATGCAAAATACGATAAGGGATAAGTGATGAAACATTTAAAGTCAAAGAAGGGGAATATGTATTTGTTTTCAACAACAAGAAGGGGGCTAGATTACAACAGCAACAGTCAATATACACATTTCTACAAATTCTAATTGGCATACTATGTTCCACAGTAATGTGCAGCTGAGTTTGATAAAAAGAAAAAAGTACAATCAAATGGCATTGAGCAAGTGATTCCAAAAAAGTAAAAACATTTCGCTTCCCATCCAGGAAAAAGTTTGAAAAAGCTTTTTGGATGGGAAGCAAAACGTCTTCAAACTTGGGAAACAAAGTCCAGTGGGTTTTTTTTTTTTTTTAATGACTATGACCTGGATGACTGAGAATCTTCGCCAGCCATCGAGCAAGTGGTTAGTCAGTGTGGCTTGTTTGGTTTATCATTGCTAAGATTCCACCCAAAAAAATGATTTTAACCAGAGTGAGCATGCTTTGTCTAACCATCCCTATTCTGGCCCCAATGTCCACATAGTGAAAAAGTTGCAAACACATTCAACCAAGAAAAAGCACCTGATTTAAAGATATTTTCAGTAAAGTGTTTTTCATCAAATTCAGCTGCTCGACATGGTTCTGGTAAAATGCCTAAAAATGGTGGAATCTCTAGACTAGTTGTAACTAAAAGTAAACATAGTTTAGTCCTTAATCTGTTGCATTTCATGCAATATCCCTCTTGTTACGTTTGTTTTTCATAAACTGATATCATAAATATTTTATATACTCAAGTATTAGCTTTTCATGTTTACATGACAACATTTTGCAAGATCATATTTTTTTTACAAGAATTGTACGGAATTTCTTCTCTTAATGTTTCATCAAACCTTAGCCATGCTGCTTCCTGTATCCGTCTTTAAGTAGAAGGGTGATCTGTAGTGTGGTGGTCATCACGTTTGAATCACACTTAAAAGGTCCAAGGTTCAACACCTGGGAGAAACAGACTTCTGGGGTGAATATCCATTTGACATTAGGCATACAGTCATAGATGAAGTGTTAGACTTGGCCCAAGTTGTCAAGGTTAGTGTGCTCTTACCCAAATTTTTTTAAACCTTTTTATCTCTGCCATATGTCTTTGCCATTAGCCACCAATCATAATGGGAAGAAAAACAGTACACCTACACATAATGGATAACAAGTTGACCTAGCATCAGCAAAAATGCATACAAATTTCCTACAGTAACCCACTGATATAGCTGTGAAATGGTTGAGGCTGAAAGTATACAAATCCTGCAGCCAATTTTATTTTTTTGTCAAAATTCTAAAATGTTAAGTTGTTTGCAATATAGCAATCACAACAAAGTAGTTTAAATCCATAAGCTGACTAATTTTACATGAATACTATTTCAATGAGTATTTAAACCCAGATCTTCTTGCCTTGCAGCAAGAAGATCTGGGATTGATTCCCGCTCTTTCTGCATGGAGTTTGCATGTTCTCCCTGAGCATGTGTGGGTTCTCTCTAGGTACTCTGACTTCCTCCCACTGTCCAAAAACATGACTGTTGGGTTAATTGGTTTCTCTGTCCTTGTCCTTAGGTGTAACCGTGTGTGAATGGATGTTTGTCTCTGTGCTGCCCCCGCCTCTCACCCGTAGGCAGCTGGAGATAAGCACCAGGAACCCTGCTTGGGATAAGAGTGACAGAAAATGGATGGATAAAAAGACTTATTGTGGAGGAAGGGACTAGAATATGGCCATTTTTTTTTTTTTACCAACAACGCAATGAACCCCATAGAAAGCTCCACCCTTGTTTTGATGGTTCTTGATTTGAGCCGTGCTGAAAAGCTTGGGTGGGATTTGTCAAAGGATAATCATGAATTGAAAACCTTAAGCCTTTAGGAGGGGAATAAGATCCCTGCAGGCTGCTCTATAATAAAGATACTTGACGTGAAGGGGTTAAATACTTCTGAAACTGCAGATTTCATCACAAGAAAGAGTTCAGAGTTGATTCATTTTATATACGATGAGCATTAATCACCAAAATGCTTTACATAACAATACATTTTGCTCTCAATGAATACATATAAAGTACATCATACAAAAAAGTAAAATGAAATATGCTTTGATTTTTTTTGTTGCAAATTTTGAATATTCACACTTTCAACAAATACAAAAGAACTTGTGGAACTACACATGGTATCAACCTGGGCCCAGTGGTTTGCAATTGTTGATCAGATTAGTTCTCACATCAATTTTATGAGGCCAGTTTTCCATGGCGAATCATACATTTAAAAAAAACACTCCATCTGTAAACATTTCCTTACCTAAATGCAATAACTCATGGTCTTTGTAGACTTGGCATTGAAAGGGAAAGGGTGCCACCTTGTGGTGCAGTATGACCTCACAAGATCTCAAACAGAATTTTAAGGAGTCAACATCCTGAGTTTCAAATTTGTTGAAATTTTGAAGAAATGTGAACAAATCAATGAATTTCTTCAGATTGTATTTTTAAAGTGCATATTTTCTCTTGTTTGTTGACCCAACACTGATGCATACCTCACGTTTAAACTGCAAAAACGATTTAGAAATAATTAAAAATGTCTTAAATTAAGTGTATTTTCCCCTAATTTGAGTAGGTAAATGAGATAGTTTGTCAATGGAATGAGAATCTCTACTCTTAAAATAAGTTTATTAGATAATATACACTTGAAATAGAACTATTCAATATTCTTTTTCTTATTTTAAGTGTAAATTGTCGTGTTCCATTGGCAAAGTGTCTCAGTTAGTTCCTCAATTCAAGAAAAAAATGCACTTATTTTAAGAAAAAATTAGTGTTTTTTTGAATTAGATGGTTTTGAAATAACAAAACAAAAGTTGGGTAGA